AGAGAGAGAGAGAGAGAGAGAGAGAGAGAGAGAGAGAGAGAGAGAGAGGTGTCATTTTCTCAAGTTCTGAACGTCAATTTGGCCAAACATGACTTACAAGTTACAACTTACAAGGCAGTTGTGGCCTGCAAGCTCGTTGACTCTTCCACTCGTGAGATTATACAGTAATAGCTCATTAGGTGCCTGTTGAAAAAATGAAAAAGAGGAACAGAAGACCAAATTACTATTATGTTCATCAGCTTGCCAAAAATAGATGTATGGAAACCAACGCATATATAGATAGATAATAGATCTGGTTGTCCTAGCACTGCACCGGCACCTTTGACGGAAAAACTTCGTTCACTGCATCCGCCCCCGCACCTGCACTGGCACCTGAGTCCACACCTGCACCCACACCTGCACCTGGACATGGAGGTGGACACCAAGTGGATCAGGCCTAGACAAAGGGTATGGATAAAATATAGATGTCCAGATCTGAGTGACACCAGGGTTGACCGGAAAAATGTTGCTAATTTTCATATGAAGAGTTGAAGCTGCTGTGTCCTTCGGGACATCCTTTAAATTGGAACGATACAGAGAAGATTAGCATGGCCCCTGTGCAAGGATGACGCACATAAATCGGGAAACAGTTCAAATTTCTTTCCATTAAAAAAAAAAAGAAAAAAAAAGGTTGAAGCTGCTGTAGATTCGGCTTTTTTTCTTTCCCCTGAAAACTTTAAGGCAATGTTCCCCCCCCCCCCCTCTCTCTCTCTCTCTCTCTCTCTCTCTCTCTGTCTCTCCCCACATCTCTCCATCTCTCTCTCTACAGGCATATGTCAAAATGGGCACCTCGACTGCCACTTAAACTAACTTTTTTTCTTTTCGCTTCTAATTTTTAAACCATAGTTGCACAGGACGACAGTCGGCGCCCCTTGATTGGTCAGGCGCTGACCAGCCGACCGACTGGTCGGCTGGCCGGGACCTACTGGTAAGGGGTCGTAGGCACCCTGCAAAAAAAAATAAAAAAAATTCTTCTTTCTTGGAGTCCATAACCCCCAATAAGTTCAATAACCCCACCAACACCCCTATACCCC